GATATTCGGTATTTCGATGATTTTAGCGACATTATTCACTGGAATTGTTTCAAATTTTGTATTTGAAATTCATAATGGATGCTACAGCCTATGACAGAAAATTGTCTGTCCAGGTCCACGTCGTCGTACAGCCCCCTTATAACGGTACCTCCTGATATTCGGTATTTTGTCGATTTTAGCTACATTATTCACCGGAATTGTTCCAAATTTGGTATTTAATGTTCGTAATGGATACTACAGCCTATGACAGAAAATTGTCTTTGCAGGTCCATGTCTTCGTATAGCCCCCATATAACGGTACCTCCCCATATTCGTTATTTTTATGATTTTAGGTACATAATTTTCGGTTTTTATTTAAGTTTCGCATTTGAATATTGTAATGGCTTATGACAAATGTTACCTATGCAGGTCCACGTCGTCGTATAGACCCTAATATACGCCTACATTCGGTATTTTTAAGATTTTAAAAGAATTTTTTTAACGGATTTTATTTTTTTGAAATTTGCCAAAATCGTTCCAAATGGTGGAGGGTATTAAAAGATCGACCCAGCCGAACTTACAACTTTTTAACTTGTTTTCTGAAAAATGCTTATCAAAATATTTTTGTACGCTTGTAAACAATATAATGAGCTGTCACTGGAATAATTTTAATAGCTGTCGGACGAGTCGCTTAGAAATGACAGCAGTCTGAAGTTGGTTGCAGTTTTTTTCATCTCAGCCTGTAGAGGCGGTTTGGGAAATTTGTACCATAATTGTACGAAAAGTACTAAATGATACTATATTTTGTATTGGGTCAATGAATACGGCTGGAATTCTCAAATTTGATATGGAGGTATATGTTGGTGGGAGGGGAAAATTTGACACCTTTGCCTTCTTTTTTTCTGCTGCTCTACTCTCATAATCACCTGGAATTTTCCGGTATTTGTTGAAAAAATTGTATTTTGTTGCACAGTATTATTGTTCAAAAAATCGTTGAAAATATCTATTTTTAAATCTGATATTATTTGAAATTGGTTATTAATTTTTTTTACAATTAATGATTGAAGGTCTGTTAGTTCATGGACATTTTTTTTTAAGAATTTAAATTTTTGAAAAGTATTAAAAAATTGTCAATTGATCGTTAAAGAAATATTTGAAAATCCTACTTTGTTGAAAAATCTTTGCTGCTTGCAAGAATATTTTTAAAAAATCAAGGAATTTTAATGATTATTTGTAAGAGTTTTGATTTTTTTTTTTTTAATTCTTTGAAAAAAATCCATGATTATTAAAATTTTCGATTATTTGTCCTATTTTTGAAAAATCCTCAATTATTTGTGAATTTTATTTGTTTTAAGAATTTGTTCTTGAAAAAATTATTAAATCCAGGACTATAAAATTCCTCGTAAAAACTTCTGGATTATTGGTCAATTTGTCATTGAAAATATTTTTAAAATTTGAAAAATATATTTAAAAAGATCTGTCATTTAAAATATTTTAAAAATAAAAATATTTTAAAAAAAAATTACGAGGATATTGCCTAGAATCTGCTTAAAAATCCAACACTGGTTATTCCATATATCCTAGAAAAAAATATTCTTCAAAAAAGTAAAAAAGCTGTAGGATTGGGCGGGCCGAACTTTGAATATCCTCCACCATTTGGAATGAATTTGGCAATTCTCAAAAACATTAAAATCCGTTAAAAATTCTGTTAGAATCTTAAAAATACCGAATGCAGCTGTTAGGGTCTATAAGACGACATGGACCTGCATAGGTAACTTTTATCATAAGCCATTGCAATATTCAAATGCGAAACTTCAAAAAAAAAAAAAAAAATGGTGAATAATGTTGCTAAAATCATCAAAATACCCAATATCGGGAGGTACAGTTAAATGGGGGCTATACGAAGACCTGGACCTGCACAAACAATTTTCTGTCTTAGGTTGTAGTATACATTTCGAACTTCAAGTACCAAATTTGAAACAATTCCTGTGAATTACGTCGCTAAAATCATCAAAATACCGAATATCGGGTGGTACCGTTATATGGGGGCTATACGAAGACGTGGATCTGCACAGACAATCTCCTGTCACAGGCTTTAGTATCCATTACAAACATCAAATATCAAATTTGAAACAATTCCGGTGAATAATGTCGCCAATATCAACAAAGTACCGAATATCGTGAGGTACCGTTACATGGGGGCTATACGAAGACGTGGACCTGCGCAGACAATTTTATGTCTTAGGCTGTAGTATTCATTACGAACTTTAAGTGCCAAATTTGAGACAATTCCCGCAAATAATGTCGCTAAAATCATCAAAATACCGAATATCGTGAGGTACTGTTATATGGGGGCAAACCAAAACGTGGACCATTTTCAATACCACATTGTCCTGCAGGCATAATATACATTTTGAGTAAAATTTTATCAATCTACTTCAATTCGTTCGGAAGCTAGAGTTTATTCCACAGACGGACAGACGGACGGACATCGCTAAATCGACATAGAATTTTATGCTGATCCAGAATATATATACTTTGTGGGGTGGGGTAAAATGTATATTTCGAGGTGTTACAGACGGAATGACAAACTTAATAAAACCTCCATCATTTTTTTATACCCTACACCACAAGGTGGTCAGGGTATTATGTCTTTGTGCATTTGTTTGTAACAGGCAAAAGGAAACGAGATAGACACATAGTTCCTTTTGGTGATCTGCATAGAATCACATTCTGAGTCGATTTATGCATGTCCGTCCGTCCGTCTGTCCGTCCGTCCGTCCGTCTGTCCATGTATTTTTGTAAACAAACTACAGGTCGCATTTATTGCCCGATACAGATGAAATTTTGCAAAGATCTTTTGTTTGGCCCAAGGACGAACCCTATTGAAATTGGAGATAATCGGTCAAAATTTAGATATAGCTCCCATATATATCTTCGTCCGATTTCCTTTTATTGTGCACCAAACGTGTAATATCAGCCCGAATTGTATGGAATTTTGCATATACACCCAAATTAGGCCTGAAAATATGTGTGCCAAATTTGATCGAAATCGGTTCAGATATAGCTATAGCTCCCATATATATTTTTCATCCGATTTGTTATTTTTGTCCACCGCCGCCGTAATATGCACTCTGTAACAACAATATTTGGGGAAATATATCAAATGCAGTTCAGAAATACCTTTGCTAGATTTTATCGAGATCGGTTCAGATTTGGATATAGCTCCCATATATAACTTCGTCCGATTTACATTTTATTGTGCACCAAACGTCTAATATTTGTCCAAATGGGATGGAATTTGGCACTTACGACCGAATTGAGTCTAGAAGCTAGTATGTCAAATTTGGTGAAGATCGGTTCAGATATAGCTATAGCTTCCATATATATTATTCATCCGATTTGTTATATTTGTTACCCACAACCGTAATATGCACTCTGTAACAACGATATTCAGGGAAATATATCAAATACAGCTCAGAAATATCTTTGCCAAATTTTATCGAGATCGGTTCAGATTTGGATATAGCTCCCATATATATCTTTATCCGATTTCAAATTAATTGTGCACCAAATGGGCAATACAATTCCGAATTTAAAAGATACAAATGCTTCGGAATATTTTGTCCTTTGAACTTTAAGTTATAATTATAATCATAGCGTGTATGATTGAATTCTCCCATAAAAACTTTTAATTGTTATGTGGAGCTCTACTTAATTAGCAAAGTGGTGTAGGGTATCATAAAGTCGACCCCGCCCGACTTGAAGACTTTCTTTACTGGTTTTTATTTATTATTATTTTTTTTTATACCCTACACCACAAGGTGGTCAGGGTATTATGTCTTTGTGCATTTGTTTGTAACAGACAAAAGGAAACGAGATAGACCCATAGTTCCTTTTGATGATCTGCATAGAATCACATTCTGAGTCGATTTATGCATGTCCGTCCGTCTGTCCATGTATTTTTGTAAACAAAGTACAGTTCGCATTTATTGACCTATCCAAATGAAATTTTGCAAAAATCATTTGTTTGGCCCAAGGACGAACCCTATTGAAATTGGAGATAATCGGTCAAAATTTAGATATAGCTCCCATATATATCTTTGTCCGATTTGCTTTTTATTGTGCACCAAACGTGTAATATCAGCCCGAATAGTATGGAATTTTGCACATACAACCATATTAGGCCTGAAAATAAGTATGCCAAATTTTATCGAAATCGGTTCAGATATAGCTATAGCTCCCATATATACTGTTCATCCGATTTGTTATTTTTGTTCCCCGCAGCCGTAATATGCACTCTGTAACAACAATATTGGGGAAATATATCAAATGCAGCTCAGAAATACATTTGCTAAATTTTATCAAGATCGGTTCAGATTTGGATATAGCTCCCATATATAACTTCGTCCGATTTACCTTTGATTGTGCACCAAACGTCTAATATTTGTCCAAATGGCATGGAATTTGGCACATACGACCGAATTGAGTCTAGAAGCTAGTATGCCAAATTTGGTGAAGATCGGTTCAGATATAGCTATAGCTCCCATATATACTTTTCTTCCGATTTGTTATATTTGTTAGCTACAGCTGTAATATGCACTCCGTAACGACGATTTTCAGCGAAATATATCAAATACAGCTTAGAAATATTTTTGCCAAATTTTATCGAGATCGGTTCCGATTCGGATATAGCTCCCATATATATCTTTATCCGATTTCAAGTTAATTGTGCACCAAATGGGCAATACAAGTCCGAATTTAAAAGATACAAATGCTTCGGCATATTTAGTCCTTTGAACTTTAAATTATAATCATAGCGTGTATGAACTTTTAATTGTTATGCGGAGCTCTACTAAATTAGAAAAGTGGTGTAGGGTATCATAAAGTCGGCCCCGCCCGACTTTAAGACTTTCTTTACTGGTTTCAAATATAGTTCACTCTCCATTCTAATAAAATTAACATTCTCAATTAATAAAAATTTCCACTAATTTATTAAATTATTCGCCATGCATACAAACCTCTTCCTTGGCTACAGCTCGATTACAATTTCCAATTGGTGGTGGCGGCGGCGGCGTTTTTCACACAAGCCGGCACATTGATTTTTCTAATTGGTATTGCGAATGCGTTTCTAGCGATTTTTCATGCCGCAAAAATTTCACTTTTTTTCCAACACAGATCTTTTATTTTTCGCGTTTTTTGGTGATTAATTTAATTAAGCGAATAACAAAAAAAAAACATTTGCCATTAATTAAAGTATTAAATGCAACCATAAATACTATGGCCCTGAGTAGTGGGTTGATGGATTTGTACAATATTCGAATTAATTTCAATTTTTTCAAGATCTGTGGCGTAACGCTTCGCTGATCATGCCTTAGTCATGAGCATTGAAATATTTATTTTTATTTATTTTTTAATTTCACAGAACTTTTTTTCTTTTCTCTTTTTTTTTTTTTTTTTTTTTTTTGATTCACATATGTTGTGGATTTTTGTGGTTATAAATCGCAAAATCTGTTGTGGTTATTTTGAAATATTGCATCCACAAGATTCATTCACTCACTACTCCACTTCTACTTCCACTGATGCATTACGTGCGGTCGGCTTGAAATGGAAATAATGAAAATGCATTTTGTTTTCATTTTCACGATGGCACTTGTTTTCTTTGTTGTGTTTTTATTTTATCTGTTGTTTTATTCCATCCTCATCATCATCATCATCGTTTATTTCACTTTCTGTCTTAATTGCTTAAAGCTGAGATTCATTGGGGTTTCTTGATTTTTCTTTGAGAATGACTTCTTCGTTGGCGATAATTGTTCACAGCTGGGATTTCTTTCCCCGACTCTGCAACGTAATTTTGATAAACGATTTTTTTTTTTTTTTTTTCAAAAAAAGGAAAGAAAACTTTCGTTCTCGAAAAGTTTATCCGAGCCTCAAGACTCCAGACTCAAAACAAAGTCTTGGCCCAACCAAGTTCATTCAAACATTGGAGACTATTTCAAACCTCGCTTGCGATCGTGTTTCTTTGCCAAAGAAGATAATAAAAAATGTTTTATTAGCATTGTTCGTGTTGTTGTTGTTATTATTGTTTTCTTTGCTCTTGCGACAAACGCCTTGTCACATTGTTTTGGTTTTATTTTTCCATTTATTAATGACATTCAAGTCTGCTCTCTCTCTCTCTCTCTCTCTCTCTCTCTCTACTCTGAGAGATAGGGTTGCATCCAACCATAAAATCCCCTCGAAACATTTAATGCTCAAAATTAATTAACATGACTCTCGTTCTCATAAAATAAACTCTCTGAGAATTATTTGTTTATTCTCGACCGATGGGGTTATGGCTGGACCCCATTCTTAATGAACTATGACGAAGCTTTGATAATTAAATTTAAACCACCAGTCATAGTCAATGGTCAGTTATTGTTTGGTGCTCCGGCAAGTGATGTCTCAAAGGCCGAAAACAACTACACCATTTCCGAGGGAAAATACCATTTTTTATTGGTGGTCAACTCCCACAGGAATCCTCATGGAATTTAATACAAGGCTTACCATTTGCGTATTTTGAGGTCAGATATAAAAACATTTTTGGGAATTCGAACAAAAAGAGTACCGAAAATACCAAAACGTACTAAATGCTAGACCATTGGCTAGGATACTGAAATTTGAATCGGTGTTGGTGTGAAGGAAAGAATATTGGTGACAAAGTATATATATATATATATATATTCTTGATCAGCCTTAAAAACTATGTCGATTTAGCGATGCCCGTCCGTCAGTCTTTCTGTTCGTCTGTGGAAATCACTCTAGCTTCCGAACGAATTGAAGTGGATTGATAAAACTTCACTCAAATGTGTGTTTTGTCTGCAGAACTTTTGGTATTGAAAATGGGCCATACAAAGACCTAGTTTAGGTGTAGCCCCATATAACGTTACGTCCGGATATTCAGTATTTTGATGATTTTGGCGTTATTATTCACCGGAATTGTTTCAAATTTGGTATTTGAATATCGCAAAGGCTTCTACAGCCTGTGACGCAAATTGTGCCTACATGTCCACGCCTTCGTATAGCCCCATATAACGCCACCTCCCGATATTCGGTATTTTGATGATTTTAGCTACTTTTTTCACCGGAATTGTTTCAAATTTCGAATTTGAAGTTCGTAACTGGTACTACAGCCTGTGACAGAAAATTGTCTATGCAGGTCCAGATCTTCGTATAGCCCTAATATGTCGGTACCTCTCTATATTCGGCATTTTGAGGATTTTAAGTACAATATTCACAGGAATTCTTTCAAATTTCGAATTTGAGTTCCTAACTGAAGTTCCCAGTCTATGACAGAAAATTGTCTATGCAAGTCCAGATCTCTGTAGAGGCCATATATATTTTGATGATTTTAGCGACGTTATCCACCGGAATTGTTTCAAATTTAGTATTTGATGTTCCTAATGTGCAGGTCCAGGTCTTCGTATAGGCACCATACATCAGTAACTCCCTATATTCGGTAATTTTACGATTTCAGGTACTAAACTCAACGAAATCGTTTGAGATGTCGTATTTGAAGTTCGTAATGGATGCTACAGCCTGTGACAGAAAATTGTGGTTTCTTCGATAAAGCACTTCAGCATTAAAATGTGAATAAATCTTTTGTTTCTCTTACCATCGCTCGTTATCGTGATACTGATAGCGTAGCCCGATGTCAAGGAAGTGAAGGTAAGAAAACAGCAGCATCAGTAGAAATGGTTCGAAAAGTAAAAAAAAAGCGAGTTGATCGAAACTCGCTTCGCAGTGGCCGATGAGCTGAACATATCGCAATATTCCATTCGGCAAATATTGAAAAATGAGCTCGGGGTAAGGCCCTTAGAATTCCAAAAAGTGCAATAACTTACACCGCAACAGAAAGAAAATAGATTTAAAAGAGCTAAAGAGTTGCTTCGCTTGGCCGAAAGCGGTTAACTGCCAAATTTAGTTTTGGTTTTCTCCGATGAGAAAACATTCGCTGTCCAGCAGTTTGAAACAAACAAAATGATCGTGTTTACATGCCAAAGAGGTCATCTGAAAATGTGAACGTTCGGTTGGCCACCAGAACTCAAGCGCCGGGCATGGTGATGGTGTGGGCCGCCATAACAGCCGATGGTCGCTCTCCGCTCGGATTAATCGACCCTGGATATCATATCATCAGAATAAATGCCGAATATTATCGCGACAATATTCTGGAGGGTGTATTAAAGCCTTGGGCACTCAAACATTTTTGCCGCAGACCTTGGACATTCCAATAGGACTCAGCACCATTGCACTCAGCATGCGCCACCCAAGAATGGTTGCAAAATGAGGTGCCTCGCTTCATTTCCAGCGCACAAAAGCCACCAAAATCCCCGGATACCAATCCGTTGGACTATTGTGCCTGAAGTATTTTGGAAAGCAAGGTTGGCACTAAAAAATACCAAAGTGTCGATCACCTCAAGCAAGCGTTTCGCCGGGAATGGCCCAAAATACCATAGGGCAACACTTTGGCTTTTGTGCAACGGTTTTATTGGCCATTTGAAGGCCATAATTCGTGCCAAAGGTGACCGATTCCAACAAATCTAAACTTATTCTAAAATTTGATGCTACTTCCGACATTTTTTGCTTTCATTCAATTAAATTAAAAAAAAATGTAAAAATTATGGCGTTTGACTTTGTTGCAGTTTTTTTACCTCACCTTTTGGCACTTCCGTCGGAATTCAGCCTAGAAGCATATACTTTGGATTTGAGGAAAATCTGTTCAGATATAGTTATAGCTCTCATACCTTTTGATGATCTGCATAGAATCACATTCTGAGTCGAATTATGCACGTCCGTCCGTCCGTCTGTCCATGTATTTTTGTAAACAAAGTACAGTCCGCATTTATTACCCGATACAGATGAAATTTTGCACAAATCATTTGTTTGGCCCAAGGACGAACCCTATTGAAATTGGAGATAATCGGTCAAAATTTAGATATAGCTCTCATATATAACTTTGTCCGATTTACCTTTTATTGTGCACCAAACGTGTATTATCAGCCCGAATATTATGGAATTTTGCACATACAACCAAATTACGCCTGAAAAGAAGTATGCCAAATTTTATCGAAATCGGTTCAGATATAGGTATAGCTCCCATATATATATTGTTCATCCGATTTGTTATTTTTGTCCTCCGCAGCCGTAATATGCACTCTGTAGCAACAATATTTAGGGAAATATATCAAATGCAGCTCAGAAATACATTTGCTTAATTTTATCGTGATCGGTTCAGATATAGCTCCCATATATAACTTCGTCCGGTTTACTTTTTATTGTACACCAAACGTCTAATATTTGTCCAAATAGGATGAAATTTGGCACATACGACGGAATTGAGTCTAGAAGCTAGTATGCCAAATTTGGTGAAGATCGGTTCAGATATAACTATAGCTCCCATATATATTGTTCATCCGATTTGTTATTTTTGTCCTCCGCAGCCGTAATATGCACTCCGTAACAAAGATATTCAGGGAAATATATCAAATACAGCTCAGAAATATCTTTGCCAAATTTTATCGAGATCGGTTCCGATTTGGATATAGTTCCCATATATATATTTTTATACGATTTCAAATTAATTGTGCACCAAATGGGCAACACAAGTCCGAATATAAAAGATACAAATGCTTCGGCATATTTAGTCTTTTGAACTTTAAATTATAATTATAATCATAGCGTGTATGAATGAATTCTCCCATAAAAAATTTTAATTGTTATGCGGAGCTCTACTAAATTAGCAAAGTGGTGTAGGGTATCATAAAATCGGCCTCGCCCGACTTTAGGACTTTCTTTACTGTTTTTTTTTTTTTTTTTTGGAACAGTTTGGCTTGTTTGTTTTGGATACCGTAGCATTTTGTTGTTGCAAAATGGTCAGGCTTTATCCCTTTATTGTTGTTTTTATAAAAACAACGTTTGTTTATTAGTGGAGAACGATGGTAATGTTTACCAGGGTATAATTTTTTTTTAATTTTTATACCAATATTGTCATATATATTTTTGAATGGACAATCCCCCTTTCCGGGTTTCAATATATTATGCCGATTTTTTTTTAACAATTTTACAAAAAAAAAAAACATCCCTTTTATGGTCCCAGATTTAAGGAACAATTTTTTTATTGTTGAGGAATTTTTAACAATATATTTAGAATATATTTTTTGCTAATTCATTATTATTAATTAATTATTATTTACACAGTAAATGGTGTATTTTAATTACGTGTGCTACGAACAATTCTATACAAAAGAACACTCAAAGCTTCAGGCTAATTAATTGTTCTTTAACTCAAAAGCTCATTCTTAACGGTCATCGCTCATTAACATAACGACAACTCAGCCCATAACTGAGTGAAATTCTCGGCCCCAAGTGTGGATG